AGGGACATACTTAGGGAGGTGTGTGAAAAATATCGGTTTAGAGCAGACATTGCTTCAGTGTTGCTAGCCTCTCTCAGATTCTGTTATGATAATTTACTCACAAGGACAGCTTATCAGTGCATGATGTAATGAACCGAGAAGACTTCTGTGATGTCTGTGGTTGGTCCGAGTCTCCATGGAGTTAGACATCGACCTTCTCAGTGTGGCCCGAACCTGACATCACTGCAAGCCACACCCTGATACGAGCGTGCCCAAAACACAGCCAGCATCTTAACTCATTTTTCCTTTATCAGCTACAGTGGTTTGTTAGTGAGTCAGAAGCAATCTGGCTACATAATAAAGTCACAAATCTTCTTTTCTTAATTCACAAAATCTTAATCGCTAAAAAAAATTCTTTGCTTATGTCCAAGTTTCTTTCCTAACCCAGAGTAAACATCATCTTTCTACGTCATGTTTATCATGTTTATCTCATACCACAGCATTGCCCGGACTGCCAACTGGCCCAGGAGTGTTTTACAAGCCTTCTAGGGCGTACGCTTTTAGAGATTAAGAATATTCAAGATCATCATCTTAAGGAAAGATATGCAGTGTTAATAGATTGCTATACAGCCAAGGTGAAGAAAAGCAGTAAAGTTTGGAAGCAAAGGCCGGAGTTGTTTTTAGAAGAACATTCCCAGTTCTCCTTTACCTCAGCCTGTGTGCGCTGTTTTAGCTTGCATCTGTGTCCTCACCTGCAATGATGGAAAATGTAGTCATTTTGCATAAACAAGGGGTGATAGAGGCACAACCAGGTGTCTATCCCAGTTTTCCCCCAGAAGAGCTCCAAGGAGGGGTCTTGCTAAACCAGTCTGATGCAGTCAGCAGTGTGTCCCCAGATGGCAAATAAAACAATGCACTCGTTCTCTTCTACTCTTGTCACATCAAGAATTTAGGTAGAACCTGACTTACTTCTCCAAATGTGGCAAAAGCCGACTTTAAAACGCTGTCTCAAAAACTTTATCCAGGTGTTTAGATTTCAACACGTGATTCTCACAGGCATAGTTATTTAAAATTTCATGCACAGGAAAACAGGTTAGCAACTCTTGGGACAACTACAATAACTTCATTTTCAGCATTCTAGAACATATTAGCCACTAGCTTGCTTTTAATTTTAAAACTTATTTGTCATCATGGTAGCACAGGGCACTTACAAAATGAAAATGGTCACCCAGTATATGCAAACTGCAAAGGTCTACAGCACCATGGTAAACAAAGGGACCGCCTTGGTGTCGAAGAAGATAAAAATCTAAAGAGGACACGAGGACCCACAGGCAATGATAAATTTGACTCCTTTGTTATTTATACACCACGTTTTTAGCAGTGTAGCTTCTACATTTTTCACTGAAGAAAGGAAGACTGGAGTCACCCTGACCTGTTCCTCAAAAACAGAAAATCAAAAAGAATGAAAATCACATAATGGAAATGAGGGAGAATTGTTATCATAACAAAAACAAGTTGCCACACAGAATTTCTTTTTACACATCCTAAAAACTGACCAAAACAGAAGCACATTGTTGTAGCCTCATCACACAGCTGACATACAGAGGATGTCAAAGGCATAAGACAAATTTTAAAAATTGTGTTGATTTAATGTCTCTGCAAATTTGCAGCTTCTTAAAAAAAAAAAAAAAAAAAAAACGAAGAAATGGGATTGATTTCCCTAGTTTCACCTGGTATCAGCTCTCCCAAATCCCTGCCATGTGGAAAGCAGTGACAGACACGAAGCCAGGACATGCACTTTTAAAGTCAGAATTTGCCTTTGTCTTCAGCAGACAAGCCCTTCCCCATTGAAGACTGGAAGAGAAGGGTAATTTTAAACCATGGTGTCTTCTAAGAAAGCACCTCATAAACACTGTGTCCTCGAGCTACAAACCTTTCCTCACATCTGTAGTGGGTGTCAAAAAGGGTTTCCAAGGCTGAGCCACAGGCAGGCAGAGGGAAAGCCGGAAAGCGCATTGCCAAGGAGGACCTGATGGGGCCGAATCCAATGCCACCCGCCCAGGGAATTCCCGTGGGACACATCCATGTCTGTTTTACAACAGTTCTTTCAGAGCCTCCATCCTCTCATTCCTTCCCACTCTTTGGTATAAGCCAGCTTCTTCAATTCTCTCCTCCTCCTCCTCTTCCTCCTCCTCCTCCTCCCAAACCTACTGCGAGCAGTCTCTCCCAATTACACATTTCAAAGAAAAGTCGTCTCCTTTCTTTTTCATGCCCAATGAATGTCACTGCATGTCACCTTAAGCATCATCGAGGGGACTCTGCACACTCACTTGGTGTGATTACACAAGGGGTTGTGGCTACGCCTTGCTGCTAAACTATAATAAATCTGAGTCTCCCACCTGGCAGGGGACACCTCAGCCACTAGCAGCCACTACCTGGTGCAGGAAGACCCACCCCCTCCAACACCACTCCCATTAACAAAAGCCAACAGAAGACAGCACAGGGGCCTAAGTCAACCACCAAAACAAGACTAATTCAAGTATCAAGTGAAACAAATGGCGAACTGTAGGAAATATCTTATTAAATAAAAATATCCGCAAGCAAGCTAATGAATACACAAACTTGAAACACAAACCACAGAGGGCCGCCTTCGCTGCCTTCTCGCAAAGGTCTGTGCAGGAGAAAACATCCTAAGAAAGTCAGAAGAGGAATTACAGGGGGAAAAAAGAAGAAAGAGAAGGAGTGTCATTTAGATGGCGCTTCTCCCCCACCTCTTAAGTCACATAAACCAAGCCAGGGTCCCTGGAGATTTCAGAATAATATTTATTACTGTCTTTCCAACATCTCCCAGCATAACATTTTGCTTTTTGATGGAATTCACCTGCATGACTGAACCTAAGGCATGGTAGAAATATGGAACGCCCACGCCCACTCGCCGGAAGGACAAACACGCCACTTCCAAGGTCCTCATACAGCCAGGCTTCCTATAAGTCTGACAGCTCGGCTCCCACTCACATTCCTCTGCTATGTTTCCCTGGGAGCTTTGATTTCCGCTCTGAGGGCTGGCACCAGCTTCGGCTTGCTCTTATAAGAAAATGTCTACAACTAAAAGTTGAAAATGTGCAAGATTCCTTCTTTAAGTACACAAACACTCCAAGTCTGGCCACTTCCCTGTAGTCCTGCCAGGGTTTCTCTCTGTCTGATACCCGATCAAGGAACCTTTTTTGGGGGGGGGCGGGGTGGGGGGAGACAACAAAGAATGCAAGGGAAAGAATGTAGTACCCCACAGACAAACATCTTACAAGACTTCACCAAATGACCTGCCGAGACCATGCCTAGGAGACACGCACACTGCTTATCTACCCTGGGAAAGACTCGCTGGCCGGCTTGGCGAATTCCTCCTTCACCAGGCAAATGAGTTTGCTAGCTAACCACTTACCCGCAAGTCTAAATGAGTGCACCTTTCCCAACTTGTGCACAAATTCAAAGAACTTTTTCTCTCCCAGCTCTGACCTGCTGTCACTCAAAGGGTTGGGATAAGTCAGAGTTGGACCAAGTTCTAAGAAGCCACTATTTCCACTTTACCGCCCAGGCTCACACAAACATTTGCTGAGTCATTTAAAATAGTGCAAGAATTCATATGCCATGGCATGAACTGAGGACAGAGTGTCAGCCTTTCCTCTAAATTTCCTGGCACTCGATGGTCTGTATCACAATCAAAACATACTTTCGAGTCTGTGAATGTCTTGGGTGTCTTCTCTCATTCTTTCTGTGTGTGTGGCTCTGTGTGTTTGTCTGTCTGTCTCTGTGACTCTCTTCATAATGATCTTTTAACTCTTTCAGAAGAGTTTTGGCCATAAAACCTGAACCCAAGTTGAAAATGCGTAGCATATTTTCTACTGTGAGGTTTCACATGTTCTGTACGTCCAAAGATGCTTATATTCTTTCAGCCAATCTTCAAAGCATCCCTTTGGAGTTATGAACTCACTAAGACTGTAGAGACCATGTGAATTTCCTAGCGTAGTCAAATTCTTTTTATGTCATGGTATTTTTAACAGTAGCACAAAATGGTCACATTCCCATGTGAATAGGGAAAGAGAGAAAGGTAAGAAAGTTAAAAGTACCAATTCCTTGAGAATTTCAATCTACTTAACCCTCATTGAACTCCATGAACTGAAAAATTCTTCGTGTTTTCCTTGTATAAATGGGAATCTGAGGGGATGGCTCCTACTTGAAACTTCCCTGAGATTTATGAATGGCAGTGCTAAGAATATAACCCATGTTACCCAACTATGCAACTCTTCCTCTTCATGAATGGGTCTCCTCACTGTGTGCACAAAGCTGTTGGTGGTGGCTCTCAGACTCTCCTGAGGTTTCCAAAGTCCCCATGGCTGGCTGTCCATGTCCCTCACACTGCAGCCTGGAGAGCTGACCACTGAACCCACATCCCACCTTAGAGGAGGCTCGTGCTTTCTGTCCCTCCTCCTTCCCCTTCACTCCACCTTTCCAACCATTAGTGGTAGCTATAATTGGAGGTTTAGGTCTTGAAAGATTTCACTGTGGTTTCCCACATAGTTTAGGCTTTTAAAATCATCCACAGTGGAAGAGAAAGTTGGGGGCCAAGTTGCCTTTAATACACATGTGGCTATTAACATAACTTGGAATGTTCCTTCTTTAAATAGGAACTAACAGGCCTCTTCTCTTTGAGGAATGCTTGGAAAGAACATTAAATAACAATGAGGAAAATTCTTGCTGGGCTTCAGAGGCCCTTGGCTGGCCATTGACACTGTTGACGTGCAACTGCCCTGTGCAGCATGTGGTTTGCTTAACGAGGTAATTGTGCTCAGATGATGTGGTTGGTGCTGAAGCTGGTTATTTTTTCTTTCCCCTTGGCCATTTTCCAACATGATGAATTGAAACCTTAAAATTGCTGGCTAGTTTACATAGGCTAACTTTGAGCTACCAAGCTATAATGCTTTGCCTCTTAGTTTGGTCCTCACATCAGAAACGGATATGCTTACCTTTAAGCCTGGAATGCGAAGCATCAGCAGCTGAAAGGACAGTGTCACCCGAGGGTGGTCTCACAGAAGACAACAAGGCACAGCTCTAGCATCACTCCCTGTGCCATAAGATGGTAAGTAACTAGAGCTATGAAGAAAAAAGCCAGTTAGATAAACTCTAAAGGAGTGCATAGTAATTAACTGGGTCCTCAGTGAAGCTAAGTGGCAACACAAAGAGCTGGAGACAGTCTTGGGTTTGTCACAGCTGACATCCGCACACAGCAGGGGGTAAAACTCTTTTTTCCCTGATTTCTTTCAGCACGCCTTGGGTCATCAGAGGTCACAACCACTGCTCACCTATGCGTGGGGAGTCAGTAAAAACATATTATTGCCTGACAGTTTATAACCAGACACAACAAGGTACACTGTGCTTCTTACATAATCAATTTATTTTATTATTATTTCAAGACAAACCAAGTTCAATACACATTTGAAGACTACAGGTTTTGGAATGAGTAAAATCACTCACCTAAAGACCTCAGCACTGCTGCATTTAAAATGTCCTAACAAACCCCAATCTTCAGGCTGGCCTCCTCCTGTCTGGTCTTCTGTTCTCCCACCCCTGAGGCCTCCTGACACCCAGAGTTTCTACTTATCCAGCGCACAGTCACTCACCCCCTTTCCCTCCCTGCACCTCCCACAAACACTGCCCTGTGCACTAAGAGAAAGCAAAGTACAAGCCCTGGCAACCTACCCAGAGACCTGCACCCCTACCCACACTCTGGCTTTATCCTTTCTGGCTGTGTGCCACCAGGCCAAACTGTTATCTCAAAGGACAGAGGATCAAATTTCTGTATTTCAGATACAGAATTCAAGGACTTTCCAAGCAAGCATCTTGGGAATTTCTAATGGTTCAAAGAAACTTCCTGCTTTTCGTAGTTTCAAGACCCTGCAGCCCCTTAAATGAAAATCACTATAAAAACAGGAAAGACAGTACAAAGGCAACCCTTTAGAGTCCTTTTTTAGGAATTTTTGTTTGCCTCTTCAGCAACCCACCTCCTAAAAAGGACTTAGGCCAAAACGGGACAGAACTACTAAAAAGAGAAAAGATAGAAAAATGATAATGATAATGATAATAATGACAGTAATAATTGCTGGTGAGATTTTAAACGACAAAAATCAGAAGAGCTGAGAAGCAGGAGCGCATAGGAAAAAACTCCTATTTGATGTTGGAAATACTGAGCCTTTTTTTTTCTGGCGAGCTGGAGTGTGCCAGCTTTTTCAGACGGAGGAATGCTGAGTGTCAAGGGGTCAGGATCAATCCGGTGCGAGTTGATGGGGCAGGAAGGTGGAGAGGAATGCGAGGAATGTCCCTGTTTGTGTGGGACTCCATTCAGCCCATTGGCTCGCCGGGCCGCCGGCAGCGTATAAAAGGCCGGGCGTGCGCCGCAGCCCCACACAGCAGCTCTTCCCAGCTCCGAGGAGGCAGCCAGTGCCACTCCCAGAGTCGCCACCACCTCGCCGGCCGACAACAGATCGCCTCGGCCCCAGAGACGGCAGCCGCCCCGGCCGACAGCTCCTGAGACCCCGGCAGCCCAGCGCGCCCAGGCACCCACCTCCGCGCCCCTCGCCAGCCACCGCATCACCATGTCCCACGTCGCCGCTGCCGCCGTCGTGCTCCTAGTCGCGCTCTGCAGCCAGGTAAGCGCCGGACACCGGCGGGGAGGGAGGAGGACAGAAGGAGGACCGAGCGCCCCGCCACCGGGCGCTGACCTCGCGCCTCTCCCCGCAGCTCGGCTCCGGCCAGGACTGCAGCGCGCAATGCACCCAGTGCGCGTCCGAACCCGCGCCGCGCTGCCCGCTCGGCGTGAGCCTCGTGTTGGACGGCTGCGGCTGCTGCCGCGTCTGCGCCAAGCAGCTGGGCGAGCTGTGCACGCAGCTCCACCCCTGCGACCCGCACAAGGGCCTCTCCTGCGACTTCGGCTCCGCGTCCAATCGCAACATCGGCGTGTGCACCGGTAAGACCTGTGGCAGCGCTTGCGCTCCGGCCGCCTCTGCGTGTCCCGCCACCTTGGTCGTCCCTCCGTCCCTCCCATGCACCCACCTGCCAGAAAGGGACACCACTCCCCTGGAGTCCCTGTCTGCATGCAGCCCGCCCCCTGCCTGCAGCCGGGACCGCGATTTTAAGCCCTGAGCGCCTTGGGGCGCGGAGCTTGACCTCCCCTTCTCCCTGCAGCCCAAGGAGGCGCCCCCTGCGTGTTCGGCGGGAAGGTGTACCGCAGTGGAGACACCTTCCACAGCAGCTGCAAGTACCAGTGCACGTGCCTGGACGGGGCGGTGGGCTGCGTGCCCCTGTGCAGCATGGATGTGCGCCTGCCCAGCCCCGACTGCCCCTTCCCCAGAAGGGTCAAGCTGCCCGGCAAGTGCTGCGAGGAGTGGGTGTGTGACCAGCCCAAGGACAGCACCGCGGTGGGCCCTGCCCTGGCTGGTGAGTGCCCACATCTCTAAATCCGTCTTGTCACTCTCCCTCCCGCGGGGGCTGAGCCCTCAGAGTGCCAGGGGGCGGTGGAAGTCATCTCATCCCGGCGGTTTACCTTGTGTTTGTGTGCTTTGCTCTCAGCCTATCGACTGGAAGACACATTTGGCCCGGACCCCACTATGATGCGAGCCAACTGCCTGGTCCAGACCACAGAGTGGAGCGCCTGTTCCAAGACCTGCGGGATGGGCCTCTCCACCCGGGTTACCAATGACAACGCCTACTGCCGGCTGGAGAAGCAGAGCCGCCTGTGCATGGTCAGGCCCTGCGAGGTCGACCTGGAGGAGAACATTAAGGTTGGTGCTGCGCGCCTGGGAACGCACTGTCATGGAATGCTAAGGCAAAGGATCCAAGTTAGCTCTTTTGCTACCCTTGTTACGAAAGACCTTTTATCTCTAAAAATATCTAACCATTGAGCCTTTTTGCCCAAATAAGAGGTGGTGTCCGAGGAACCAACTGTTTCCCTCCACATGCAGAACCCTCCATAGCTAGGTAACTCTGGGACATTTCAAGAGAGGCCGTGGCTATTTTTGGAAAACTGGCCCAGGAAACTCAAAAGTTTCTGTCCTCAAAATATAAACAGAAATCAGCCAGCATAAGTTGAGGGAGGCACTCCCCCTGGTAGTAACCGGTGTCTCTCCTCTCCTTTGTCTTCCTTAGAAGGGCAAAAAGTGCATCCGTACCCCGAAAATCTCCAAGCCTGTCAAGTTCGAGCTGTCTGGCTGCACCAGCATGAAGACCTACCGGGCTAAGTTCTGCGGGGTGTGCACCGATGGCCGCTGCTGCACCCCACATGCAACCACCACTCTGCCGGTGGAGTTCAAGTGTCCGGACGGCGAGATCATGAAGAAAAGCATGATGTTCATCAAAAGCTGTGCTTGCCATTACAACTGTCCCGGCGACAATGACATCTTCGAGTCCCTGTACTACAAGAAGATGTATGGAGACATGGCCTAAAGCCGGATCGTGAGAGACATTGGCTCCATTCACTCATTAGTCTGTAACTTGAATTAATCCACATCTCATGTTTATGTAAAAATGATTTCAGTAGCACATTGTTAATTTAAGTTTTTTCTAGCTGATGCGGGGGGAGAGAAATTCCCACCCCACTGGAAACATTGTGCCATGTCTTACAAATAGTCTACCAACCCCAGACACTGGTTTGAAGCAAGTTAAGACTTGACAGTGGGACGTTAGGGAATAGTGCCAGAATGTATGCACAGGTGTGGCTGTGGGAGCCACAAGCCACAAATGTCAGCTGGAAGCAGTAACGGGCCTGCTCCCTGCAGAATACCCGGGTGGAAGACGCCTACAGGCTTGCTGACCTCCCTGTAGCTCCAGCCGTAGCAAGGGCATGCATTCTCCAGCCATCCCGAGGCTGAGTCAGGCTGTTCTAGAAGTCAGAACAGCAGATTCAGCTGTGACATTCTGATTCCAGTGACCGTGACCGTGTGCAGGAATCAGAATCCTGTCTATTAGACTGGACAGCTTGTGGCAAGTTCATTTGCCTGTAACAAGCCAGATTTTTTTATGAATATTGTAAATATTGTGGAGATTTTATATATATATATATATATATATATATTTGTACAGTTATCTAAGTTAATTTAAATTTGTTTGTGGCTCTTTGTTTTTGTTTTTAATGCTTGGATATTTCAAATGTTAGCCTCAAGTTCTGAATGCCATGGATAGGACAGAAAAGCTTGTCTGATAATTGGGAGCCTGAGGTGGATTGAGGTGGAAATCCATCCCAAGTGTTTGCTTGCTTAAGGTGAGGTCACAGAGCCTCTGGCTGTAGGGAACGTGGTGACCTCACTTTTCATGAATAAATGTCCTTTATTGGGAAATGACTAGTTCTATACAGCTGATCAGTTTTCTATCTGGAAGCATCTGTTTGTACTTTGACTATGACTGTTCTTCAGACAGTTTATTGGTGGAGAGTATGACCAAAAGTTACATGTTTGCACCTTTCTAGTTGAAATAAAGTATATATTTTTTCTATAAAGACCTTGTCTCTTCGTTTATACTTACAAAGGTTTTCTGAGTTTTCTTGAATATGAATGGGAAGTTTTTGTGTATCTTGAAGTAATTTACCAATAATTCCTAAATACCTTTGAAAATAGATCCTAATAAATTGGTTAATCAATAGAATTTTATGTAAATAACATTCCATGTGGACTCGTGTCACATACCTGCAGGCATATACACCATACAGAGTACACCAGCAATTGTTATCTTTATGGTACTGTAAGAATACTTTAAATTCAATTATCTGTGGATAAATTCAATTTCTGCTAACCCTGTGGTATTAGGCCTGCTCTTTTTACATCTTTAGCCACTGTGAGTTGATTTCCAACCCTTCATATCACAAACTAGTCTGAACTTTATATATGGAAAATGTTTGTAGAATACAGTGTTTTCTTCATTTCTATGCTGTATTATGCCTGAAATCATATAATGAGACATATATTCAATTGGAGCCACTTAATAAGCATTTTGCATAATTATGTTTTCAGTGGCCATGATAATCATTGGTAAATGATGATATAAATAGAATTGAGAAGAAAAGCCAATCTTCCACTCATCAACATTAATAGAAACACATCTTCATTTCAGAGCAATTCTTTCATTTTGCAAGTCTTCAGCTTTATTAGACCTCAAGATCAACACATCCTGTTACCAAGTGGTTTATAAGTGATAAAACAGCTGTTCAGGCTGGGGATGGGGATCTGTAGTTTGAGCTCTTGTCTTGCATGCACAAAGCCCTGAGTATCTTGGTTACTATTTCTCTTGTTGCTGAGACAAAATACCTGACACCAAAAATGAAAGAAGGAAGGTTCATTTAGCTGACAGATTTTGGAGGTTTCAGTCCATATTCAGCTGGCTCCAAGGCAGGGTGGCATGAGCTAAGGGGCAGCTGTTCATGATACTGCAAGGGTCAAGAGTAAAAGGGCAAAGGGAAAACCACACCTCCTTTCCTCCTTATAGCATGCCAGCTCCACTCCTAGGCAGGCACAGCGCGCACAGCGCTCACACCGCCTATCCCAGCGCTAGACAACGAACCCATCACAAATGCTAGCCTCAGCTGCCTCCATGACTACATGCAGCTCTGGGAGGACACCCAGATACAAACCACAACACCAGGCTCCTGAAAAGTGAACAGAAGTGAATGCAAACAAAAGAAATGGTCCCAGGGCAACCTGAAGCCCAATTTTTCCAGATGAGAATAGCTTTAGATCCCAAATGGGGCAAAAATTGCAGATCGACTAACCTGGCCCAGAGTAATTAGCAATGCTGTAGTCAAAACCCCATGAGAGATAAAAGTCCATCTGAAAATAATGACAGATCTACAATCTACCTACCACAGGCCAATGGAAGAGCGTTTCCACTCATCACAGTGGGCTTTGACACATCCACATATGTGCATGGCAATGCTATTAGAAGCCAAAGCACTTCACTGTGCTAAATAAACACAGGCCCATGTGCATGCCCCCCCCCAACACACACACAAGCACGCAGTACATTGTTCCCATTTTCTTTCTGTCAGTTGACCCCTGGCTGCAAAGATAAAGGGCCCTGGTAAACAAGTCTCACTGTTCCAAAAGGAATCAGAGAATTCTGGAAAAATGAAAGCAATAGTGGAAACATAGAGTTCACGTTTTCCAAATACACACACACACACACACACACACACACACACGCATACACACACACACCACAAAGTAGGCTGTGTATCCAAAATCCCAGGAGCAATATTTGTAATAAAATTAGGAGCAGAGCACCAGTTGATCCTCTAAATATGGATAGAGACGACTCACCCCCACCAGAAGGGCTGTGCTGGCTCTGATCCCGTATGGGAGGCCCAGAGCCCCACGTCTCTGAGAGACGAGAGCTGCGAAGGCCAGGGACACCGCTGAAAGCCAGGCAGCCGGTCTGACAGCGGTGCAGAAACTGGCAGGAATTTTGGCCACTCCAACAAAATCAGCAGGCCAGGGCAGCTTTTCAAGAGAGGACACCCACACTGAGGCAGGGAAACAAACAGAGCAGGTCAGGGACAGAAAGACACTGGGGAGAACAGAACTCCCAAGTCTTAGGGAGTAAACTGCCATCCTTTCATTTATGTATTTATTTATCTTTATTTTTTTGGTACTGGGAATCCTTTTAACATGGCACAAAAACACCAAAAGAGAAATATTAAAAGCTATCTACACTGAGCTTGCCTTTGTCTCTAAGTACTTATTCTTATTCAAATGTTTAATAATTATACAAAACACTGGATTTCATTAGGGTACTTTCATATATTTTTTTATTTCTTAAATATAAAAGGTAGATAAAAGATATTTCATATTAAAAAGTCTAATTTCCTGTAGGTTAGGATAAAGTTATCAAACCTAAGTCCCATACAAAGTTAGTAATGAAAAAAAAATATAGGGCAAAATAGTATTCCTACAGATAAGAACATGCAACCAATAGATGCTCACAAGACAGCAAAAGTAAAACTTCCTAATCAAAAGAACATTAAGAAAATGGCATTGCACACAGACAATAATAAGGAAACAACTAATGACACAAAATAACAACATAAAAATTGGCAAAATTTAGAAACATGGTGAAGGAATTAGAAACAGAAACATATATCCAACTGGAAGGAACATAGGAGTAAATAAGCACAAAAAATTGAGGAAATTTTTTTAAAGGAAGAAATATAGACTAGTGTGGTGGTGGGCCCCTGTAATGTCAGCACCGAGGAGGCTGAGGCAGGAGGATTACTGCAAATTTGAGACCAGCGTGGGCTACAAAGTGAGTTCAAGGCCATCCTGAACTGCATAGTGAAAATTTGTCTCAAAAAGACAAAAATTAAAATAAAAAGAAAGAAAGACGACAAAGGCTGTAGATAGGCACAAAAGTTTTCATATATTGATAGTGGAATTTATTGAAAGAAAAAAATGTATAAATCACAAAAACTACTGAAATAAAAAAAATTATTAAAAAGCACATGACAGCCAGGCATGGTGGTGCATACCAATAATCCCAGCACTTGGGCTGGGGATTTAGCTCAGTAGCATAAGCGCCTGCCAGGCAAGCTCGAAGTCATGAGTTCAATCCTCAGGACCTAATAATAATAATAATAATAATAATAATAATCTCAGCACTCAGGAGGCTGAGTGAGGAGGAGTGCCACAAGTTCCAGGCCAGCCTGGGCTACATAGTGAGATCCTGCCTCAAAAGACAAAGCAAAACAAGAAAATACGTAATGAATGAACATACCATATACAAAATAAAATCAACATGCATCCATGTTTCAATAAAATTGTTAGAATTTAAAGAACATGGGAACTATGCCTGTATATGCTGTATATGCAAGCAGAAAGTACATAACCCTTATAAACAAAAATAAAATTAGTTAAATATCAGACTTTTAGTAGGGTGATATTTCATACTAGAAAAAAACATATTTAATAGAGTCAAGGAAAAAAACGTAACAAAAAAAATTTTTAGCCTCCAAAACAGACTTTCAAGAATAAAGGACAAGAACCAAGTGTAATGGCACACGCCTGTAATTCCAGCACTAGGGAAGCCGAGGCAGGAGGATCACTGAGAGTTCGAGAGCAGTCTGAGCTACAAAGTGAGCTCAAGACCAGCCTGAACTGCATAGCAAGACCCTGTCTCAAAAAGACAAAAATAAAAAAATAAATAAAGCGCACACAGCGTGCTCACGTTCTCCCCCTACATCTACCCATGGAAACAGCTTAGTTGGGAAACAGCTCCAGGGCAGTGAGCGTCCCTGGGCTCAAACCATGGCCCTGAAATGCTACTGTCCACTACTGTCCACTAACGAGCCTGCGGCTTGTTGGAGAGTGGCTGCTGCCATTGGTGGGGCAAGAAATGTGTCGCTTAAATACACTTATGTTTGGAGTATCTTTTCATGTTGGATAATAAAGGAAGTCATAAGCGCCGTTAAAGTCACAGTGAAAGAATTCGGGAGGCAAACTGAAGCCACTCAGGATGACAGGGCCTTAAACGTGAAACACGTGAGCTTCAGCAAGGATGAGCCTGGCGCTGCACGAGGCCTGCCTACACTTTGATTCGTTAATTCACAATGAGAGTTAAAGGAATGATCCAGTTCGTCACTGTCACGATTTGGCTATGATTTGGGTGTGTCGCCAAAGGCTTATGTGCTAGAGCTGGTACCCAGGGTAGCACGCTGAGGCGCTAAGACTGCAGAGATGCTCGAGTGGAAGGTGGGAGGTCATCGGGGCTCAGAAGAGATTAAGGCGGTGCTCACGCGACTCCACATTTTCCAAGAAAAGGAGATGTTGTAAGAACAAGCGCTTGACTCCCTGCTGCTTCCTGTGTCATCCTGTGACTCCTCTCACGCACCAGCCGATGTGTACCCTCGCCTGAGGCTGTCTGGAAGGTTCGCCAGAGGTGAACCAGTATCACCAGCCAACACTGGACTCTCGGCCTCCAAAACTGTGTGCTAAATAAACCTCCTTTTCAATTAAGTACCTTGCCTGCAGTATTTTGTCATAGCAAAAAAAGACAGTCGCTTTCTGAGATCACTGAGGAACCCACCAATACATACAGAATTCTACCGTGACCTCAGTGGTGTTTTTCAAACGTGCTGCATATCTCACGGGGTCACAGAAGACACTGACCTCGTCTGTACCAACCCTGCACAGACTAGAGAGGGCTTTGGGGGGGATGAGTCAGTAGTGTTTTTGATAGTTTAATTTTCTATGTTTAAAAATAATTTTCTGTACTCTCCCAAATTTTATGAAATGAATATGTACTATGTTATAGTCAGGAAGCAAGGTTTTGGTCCAGAGATTTAGCTCAGTAGCACAGTGCCTGCCTGACAAGCATTAAGGTCCTGAGTTCAATTCCTGGTACCAAAAAAAAAAAGATGTTTTAAAATAAATATTCCATCGCCTCATTAAAATATAGCAAAGAATATACCCATTATTAGTCTTCCATGATTCTGGATTTTGATAAGCATTGTAT